AAATATAATTTTTAAATATACATAGTTCTCTATTGAGCTATAAAAAATTAGACATTGATAAAATGAATAAATTTTCGTATGAATGTTAGACTAATTAGAAATTAGATTGACGAATAATTTTCTAATCTTATATTATCATAACCTTATTTACATTTAATCAGAATTAACTTGCCTTTAATTCTACTTTATAAGGTGATAAAGTAACTGAAGTGTGCCTGATGACACTACACCACATCAAAATAGTCACAACCATCTAATTCTTCAACTCTCATGTCATGAAGAATGGCCAAAGCTTTACCTTTCAGAATTGTTTGAGGATTAAATTTAATAGAATAAGTTATCTTCGAAAACCAGTTCGAATAATTTTATTCATTATTATTATTATTATATAACCACTCCTCCTTGACTAGTTTAAATATTATGATATTTTTCCAACAAAACTATTTTATTTTAAATGTATTTAATTTAGCTTAAACGTATTTTTCTCACTGAGAAGTTTGAAAATTGGCCACAGACAGCGCCACAGTCACTTTTGCACATAGCGAATAGCGTTAGCAAAACGAAGACTACTGCGTATAACGTCCGTTTTGTCCAAATATTCCATGAGCATTTTGCATACACGCGGCTGAATTTCGTTGATGCAGCATTGAGTTTCCGTACGCGTGCTTGCGGGCCTGTTAATATAGTTTTTAAGGTGAAACTTTTATTACATCCTCTTAAATTTTTTTCCTCAATCTATCGCACGTCGCATTACAGCCGGACGTGGAGTAGGGGTAAAACTGAAAGGCGCTCGATATGGCGGCGACCACGGCTCGCATCAGTTAACCGTGTAGCATTTATATTCTCACTCATTCGTGCAGGTGCATGGCAATTACATTAATAGACTGTGAAACTAAAAGCGAATATGAAATTATTGATGGAATAACTGAAGTTCAAACAGATTCAATGATTTAAATAAATATTGCTCTCAGTTTTTAATATGCGTCTATCATCTGAATGATTGTAATTATTATGTATTCCGTACAATCATGCCAGATTGAAATTAAAATTTATGGTTGGATATCTTGTCTATTATTGATTTCTCATTATCATTCCCATTTTCCAATCATTAAGATAAGATTAAGAACGCGATTTTAATTTTAATACTCTAAATCGAATAATTTTCCGAAAATTTACAGTTAATCCGAAAAGTTTCAATTGCATCGTAGTTTCATAAAATCACACATTTGTTTTGGCTTAATATAACCACATAAAAAGAAATCTAATGGTTTTAAATCACACGGTCTGGGGGGGGGGGCAATTCTTATCATTAATTCTTCATTTTCGAAAAAGTATGGTGTATGGTTCAACGACGCCTCCAGCCCAAAATCCGCATCAAAGTTTGGGGATGCTTTTGTTTTTCGATAAATAAAAAAAAATGAAGACAAGAGAATGAAAGATTATCTGTGGAATATTACAGCCCCAAGGCTTGCCTAAGTTATCTAAGGTAATCACAGAAAAACTTGGAAAAAGGCAGACGGATCCGGAATCGAACCAGCGTTCTTTCGAATGCTAAGCAATGGTAAAAACCTCTAAAAAATGGTTATGTTTAGGGACCCATGCCGCCTAGAATCTTTCCATTTTCTCTGTGCACTACGGAATAATTAACAAATCGTTAAGTACCGACCCCTAATAAAATCGAAAGAAAATTTATTTTTGCATCCAACAACACCAAAATGAACATAGCTTTCCATTTTGAAAAAATGAGTTATTCATGTTTCAAACATTTAAAAATTGAACAGTGTAATGATTGAATGCTCTATAAATAAAAGTTTTATATGAAAAATTAAGAACGTTCTTTTTAACGGTGAAAATCAAATTTAATTGCTGACATATTAAAATTTTTGTAAGCTATTACAAACGGTAAATTTTCTATAGATTACTAAATAACTCTAACAAGATACCACGTAGGCGTAGATTATGTTAAACAAACTGGGAATCAAAATCGATGTTGAATTCAAAGAGGCAGTAATATACAGGGTGTTTCTTTTAAAATAAGGAAGTTTAAGTATACTTCCGGTATATCCGGAAGTCCGCCATCTCTGAAATTATTTTCCGCAGAGGCATCATTTGAAAAGGAACATTTCTTATTGGAAACATTTCCAATTTTAATGGCAAGACCGCTAGAGAGCAAGACTCGCTTAATATACATCATTAGATAACATACCCGTCTAAACAGTGAGCTGCTGTGACCACCCAAAGTCTTGAAAGAATTGACGCATTACAGTCTGAACTGTCACTATCATCCTCATTCACCTGTACAATATAAGGAATCTCGCTAATTGTTGCATTGCTTCCTCCTGAAATTCTGGTAGATTCCAATCCAAATTGATGGTAGGGAAAAGCTGTAAACAATCTCAGATATTAATTAAACATTTAACAATATAGTACTAAATAATCATTCACTGAATACAGAAAATAAAAATTTACCTAAAGTAAAAGGCGCAAAGGCCACAAGAATCAATACGCCTATCATCTTAGTTGATATATGTATGATACATAAGTACAAGTTGTTATGAAACAGCAATAGGTTTTATAAAGGTATTTCTTATCCGATTTTGAGTACCTATTTCTTTATGAAATTAAATTTTTAACTTGCTTTCGTTATCAGTTTATTTCTAAACTAGTATGTTTAAACAAAGTGTACCAAAAAACGGTCCTGATAATGCTGCTGTAAAAAATCCACGTGCTATTCTGAACGGATAGTTAAATTAATCGTGTGCATTCTATGTGATAGTTATTAGTAAACATAATTAAACATTATTTAATTTTAAACATTGCAGGTATCTCTATTGCGTTAACACCTAAATATCGGTCTGTAGAAGTTCTTGTTTTGTACAAGAACGAGCGCTTATGTGGTATATAAGCACATACATGCATTTTATGTATGTACAAGATAATTGCTCAGTTACAGTATTAGGTTTGACTAATTATTACTTGGAATTTTTAGAAGGTGCACATTATCGCGTAAACTAAAAAAGTTAATCGATCTATAAGATACAATTGGCGGTGTTTCCAAAAAGTCTACTGATAAGACTGCTACAAAAAATTACACGTGTCATCGTAAACATACACTCAAATTTGTTGTATGGATCTTATGACGATAGTACTTGATAAACGTTATGTAATTTTCGCATTTTTTATTTAATTGTAGGCATTGCAGGAATTGTTATAATTTGAAACCTAGACATCGGCTTGTAGATTTTTTATTGTACAATCAGTAAGATTTTCCAAGATATATTAATGTGGTATGTGCATGTATAGTATAGGCTATAGAGGTGCTATATATGGAAGATGCCAGGTGATTTAGGGATATATCAGTTAAATTACATACTTGTTAGGCAAAGATTTAAAAATCAAGTGAAGGACTGTAAAAGTACGAAGATCAATCTTAAATTGAAAATTCTGAAGAAGAGGGAAGGTAGGAGTCGTCTCGACTTAGAAAAGCTAAAATGTAACGAAACGCGTGATAGGCTAGGTAAAAGGACAGACGAAATACTAAAGGCAGCGGGAGAAACGAATGACAGGGACATAGAGACAGAATGGAACTGCATTAAAACGTGCTTAAAGTGAGCAACTACAGATATACTAGGTCTTAAACAAAACGAAAGTAGGAAACCCTGGATAACAAATGAGATTTTAGGATTAATAGAAGAAAGGCGGAGATACAAAAACAGGACAGACGAAGAAGGGCAAAAAAGATATAAGGCTACAAAGTGGGAAATAATTAGGAAGTGTAGGGAAGCTAAGGAACAGTAGATTGATAGGAGGTGTAAAGAAATAGAAGAAAAGTTTGATATAGGTGAAACCGATGAGGCGTATAATATAATTAAAAGGAGTTTTAGAGATGTAGTATATAGTAGTGATAATATAATAGTCACTTTGATAGAAAATGAGGAAAAGACAGATAGGTGGAAAGAATATTTAGAGAACCTATACGCAGACCATGAGAGAGAAGGAAGATAGTGTGGAGATAGATGAGCGAGAAGAATTCGATGTAGTATTAAAATGACCAGGTTTCTAGACGGTATATATTACATCATTCTAGGAAACGGCAAGCCTCTATAAACAGTTGTCGCGAAATCCAGCGGTAGACAGTAGTAGTACGAAAACGAGGCGATACAAAGCGAAGACGGAGCGAAGAAGTTGTGTTCATATAGTGGTGAATTGATAACTAATTAATAAAATAAGTGTTAATTAGACAGCAAATAGTTAAATAAATGTAGTAATAGTGTGAGTAAGGTATTTAAAATGTGTTATATTTGCGTCGCGGTGACGCCGAAAATTTTAGTACTTTATACAGTTTCCTGTACTTAATAAGAATATATATGTATATATGTCATATATATATATTATTTGGAGGAAGGGGGGTTTTTCTATTTTCTTTGATATTTTGTTTACGCTTATTTAAACTTATAAAACCGATTAATAGCATCTGAATTTTGGATAATGACTAGTTCCTTCCCATATACCTGTTTTTAATTAGGGTTAAAATTTTGGGTATGCCTAATTCCCTCCTAATTATACATCAATTGCTTCCCAACGGCGGCGGATGACCTTAAGTGCTAATTGCTAGATTTTCAATCTGAAATTTATGTTAAAATGCGAAGTGTTTCATCTAATTTTAAAAAATTGTTAACAAGACAAACTAAAACTAATAAAGTTTTTCTGGATGATTGCATCAAAAAGCTAGACACACACGAATTTCCAAACATTGAATTTGTTAAGGTAGTGGGAAACCATTTTAAAATTAAATAACTGAACATTTCATAACTGATTTTCTTTCTGAAATTATTTTATCTTTATTTACTGAAGTGTACTATAAATATATATTTATTTTCGATAAATAAAATCGGTAAGTAGTCGTTAACTTAATTATCGGAGCTGATATGAACGGGAGGGAACTCGGCTAGTACCCGGCAGGGAATTCGACTATCTATATTTTAACCAAAACTACCTGCGGGAGGGAATTCGGTATCACCGTGAATTTTAGAGCGCATCTAATTATCTTCTACCTTCTTGTCAATGATGGTTTCAACGGTCCGGCTTTGTGTATTACATCTAGCTCCAAAAAAGCTAGAGCCGCCCCTGGTAATTAGCTTCCTTTTCTTTCTCCTCTAACTGACTTCATACATTTCGTATCTCCGCTTAAATTTTATTGTTTTATATGTATAAACTTAAACATTAAAAGACGATTGCTAGAAAAACCTAATATAGATTACGCAAAATGTTAATGCCTTCTTAAAGAATAGTTTAGTCCGACTATAATCAGTCACTTGTTTATTTATTTGTTTTGATTTCAAATTGACTCTATTCATGTACTAGTGATACTGTTTTAACTATTACGCTTTACCAAATCGTAATCTAAATGATTTTGTTGACAGCAAATTACCTCAAATGATCCTGAACATCGGAAGTAGATGCGTTAGTTGGTTTCATTCTTTAGTTAGACAATTTAATAGTCAGAAATGGCTATTAAGGAGAAGATAGTTAAAGCAATTTGTATTACACGCAGAACCATTAATAACCAAAACATTGCAATATTTTATATGATCACTCCCATGAAGTGTGTAGATAAGCATGAAAAAATAAATCGTTATGAATTCAGAATTATCAATTTGACTTTAAAAGAATATTTATTTATTTACAATCAGTCTGCAGTAATCGAAGCAACGGTAATAATAATGCATGTTCTGTTTTTCATTTAATTGTCATTTTTGGCATATAAAGGTAAAAGTGAATGGATTTTGTGTGTCAGTGTCAAATATGTGTCAACCTTGAATTCATAGCGATCGCTGCGCTCTATATTACTTAGTGAAATTTTCTGGATGATGTTCACTCCATTGTAGATGTACGTAATTGTTTAGTGAAAAGCATAGCTATAAGGGTATTTAATAAATAGCAGTGCAATTTTCCGTTCTCGTTACTGTGAGCACATCATTAGAATTTATCCTGTTTTGAAATGACGCTGCATTTCATGTTAATTGAACGCTACTGAGAATTCAATTCCAGAAAAGGTTCAGCGAGCATGTTAAACGCGGCAGTGGAACATAACACTGTTTTCAACAAAGCTGCAAACAAACAAAAAACGACGACTGACGCGTATATGTATAGTTAAAGCCTTCTACGGATAAGACTTCTTTCTCTTTCTGTATCTTTCTGTTTGTTTAAAAAAGCTAAAGCGATTTCTTTCGTTGGTGCATACCGATGTCTAATGAAAGGTCCAGCGCTAAGATAATCGGGGAAATCGCCAGAAACAAAATCTCATTAGTTGCGTTCGTTAAAACACGAATAAAAAGTCAGAAAGGTATGCACAATATAACGAAGGGCATTTTTAACTTTTTGTTCTTCGGACACACGACTGGAATCGAAATGAATAAAAATTCCTTGCCGACCACTTCTTGACTGCGCAATTGGAATAGATGGAAGAAATGCTTCGAATCATTTTTGCTAAAAGTTCGAGTCAGCCGTGATGTAACAAATTGATAGAGAAATTAAATTTACGATACTATCTACATATGCATATCTTTCCTAAAAATCGACCTCATTTTAAATTAATTTTGGTATGAATGCAAATTAGCTCCCCTCTGTCTGTCAAATTTGAATTTACTTAGTAATCGTAAGATCGACTTTTTTATCCTTATAAAGGCCTGAGGAAGGTTTACAGAAATTTAGATCAGATATTATCAGTATATACATTTCTATGTATGTAACAGTTTTGGTGAAGCCATTTCTACAAACGTACATACGTGAAGGTCTTAATTAAATAATATGTAGGTAATTTCAGATAAAATCTTTGCTAATTGGCATTAACAAAAGTGGAAGGAATGAATGAAGAAAGAAAAAATTAAGCTTGTAATATCTAATCTAAATGTTTCTAATTCTATGAAAGCTTTCAATCACAAGTCATGTGTTATAATTATTTATTTTAAATAGGTGTAAACCCTTTACAGTGAAATTTTTTGATAAACTTCTTGTAAAATATAGACATCACATCACATCACATAGTTTGCAATTTTAGATGTAAGAGGTAATCTTCGAAATGTAAGAAAAAACGATCGGGTACCTATACACTGTTGAAAAATATTGTACATTTATTATACATTTAGAACATAAATGTATAAGAGAATTACAATTTTGAGTGTAGTAATTTTAAATTACAATACAATTTTAGGAAAGTTGAATTGTATTTGTAAATATGCAGAAGAAAGTTGTAATTTTACTATTTTCTTGTAATCGCAAAAGATGTATTGTAGTTTTACTAATTATGTTGTACTTTGAAATAAGAAATATGGTAAATTATTATGAAAGCACACATATGTGCCCTGCATATAATACCCATATATAAAATTATTAACAAATAATGGTCATATATGTTAGAACACTGGAGAGAAAATAACATTCCAGTGTTCTTTGTTTTATAAGTATTAAATGCGATTCATAGGCGAATTAATGAACTTATGTGCAAAGGAAAAGAGAAAAAATGAGACATTTCTGATTCACGTCAGTCCAACATTATAGTTCTCTGC